TAATTTAAAAAGTTGCATGTCTGCACTCATTTGACAAATGATTTTAGGGGAGCAGGGGGACGYTGCATGCACCATGACTTTGGGTTTATGTACTGAGCATGGACTAGAGACCACAACAAGAATGGCACCAATTTTACATTTACACAAGCTTTACGTAAGGTAATTATGAATGTTTCCAAAGGGGAAAAATTAGCACTAATTGCTTTGATAGAATCACTTGCTCAGAATTTTCTTTTCTCGTTTCTTTTAATGCATTTAATGAGAATGTTATTGCCACCTATTGRTCTGGCATGAGTATTTCAAATTTATTTTTGGTTTGTGAGGGATTTTTTTCTCAAACGAGGAAAAAAAAAAAACATTAATAAAACAAAACTATCTGGAGTAGTGTAGTCAGGGCCTCTGACCAAAACTTCTGATCACGCCCCTCCCCTAACACTCCACGCCCCTCTATGTCCAACCAATACTCTCTTAATTTGCTCACATCAGACGCCAGCTGATGGTGTCAATTGCAAGGAAGTGCAGTAAGAAATTTGCATTCTGCTGCAATGGAGCRTTGGATYGGATGGGAGGTGGAAATAAAGTGCTGAGTGTGCTTGTGCATACTTTTATAATGAATGCAGAGTTACATTTTGTGTGCATGTACAAAGCCTGGTCACACACAGATCATTTGGCTGTTAACCATTCTCCCAAGACAACATATTGAAGCACAGCGAGAGTGCTGATCCCCACAGTGGAGGAGAAGGATGACAGSATGGTGACTACAGCATGAATCAACACTGAGCACCTTCCTTTCTTCTCCTCATTCCATGACTACATCTCCTGTTTGAATTAATTTTATGGATCAGTCCTTTTCTCACCGGAGCGGGGAGTTCTGATTGGTTGAGGGTGATGGGAGGGTGGAGCTTTCTTGCTACGGTGTTACACTGACAGAGAACGTTAGAGCCTGTGTGTGTGTGTGTGTGCGATTATGTCACGTTGTGTGTGTGTCAACTGAGGCGAAGATGGCTGTCAAATACTGTTTGACATGAAACAAAGCCTCAGCTCTCTTGCTAAAAGTCAAGTATTATCTAATTTAACACAGCCGCTTTCTACTTGTACCTATAAACTGTTTATCGATTCAGTCAAGTAAAACGTTTTGAATACATGACGGTAATTTGTAATTTTATAACTTTAAATTTACACGATTAAATATGCAAAATTTTACTGTCCAAAGTACGACAATGACTGAGTAGCTGCAGTCTACCCTTCCCACACTTAATCCAGGTTATTGGGGAACAACTTGGGTAAGACGTGACTACTAGCAATACTTACAGATGTACAGTACATAACTGAGCACAAACAGCAAATAAACACCTGAAACCATATGTAGAGCCCGTGCAGCTTACGTCAGAAGTCATGTGATCTTTGTTTATTCGTCGTGTTGTATGGAAAGCTTTGTTTTATTTTTATGAATGCCGTACGATTCCTGATAAAAATTTAAAATTTCCACTGAAATCAGCAAATTTTCAGGTTTGGCAAACAATTACATTATTTTCTCTAAAACGTTCAAAAACAAACAAACCACATTGGAGATACACCGGATATGTTGCAACTATAAGTTGAATGTTTCGTGARGGTCTTAATCTGTGTCTCAAACCAGGGGTTGCAGCCCAAGTAGACCATGGCCCACAGAGGCCACACCCTTTGAAGTGCAGGTCGGCTGAATCTAACTGCTGTGAAATGAGACGGTCTAGTCTTTGGATGAAACATGCTTGCGTGACCACGCACTACCCCATTACCATGATCTTACATTGTATATCAGATCACCCATGAATATCTAAAACTTAAAATGCATTGGCGCATATCTTTTCACAGGAGTTAGSTTTAGCTCCAGCATCAGTACTTGTGATTGCATTTTATTTAACAGCATATTGCAGCTAAGTTGCTAAACAACATATTCTTTGGTCCAAGATGACTTCACAAACTCCACCTTTGAGATCTCTGAGATATCGTCGTCTGCAAAGGACATTCAGATGCATCCTTTGTTTTTGGGGTTTTGTCGGCACCATGAGAAGGAGCCCATGAAATGGGACAGCCTTTGTCGTGGTGCAATGACATAACCAACCTACAAATGTGCACTACAGAGGACAAAGCTCTTGGATTGAGACACAGCCTTAGATTTGTTCTGCTGGGGTAAAGCCACAGCCCTGGCTCTGAGAAGACAATAAAACTGGACGTTTTAGAGAAAATAAAGGTAGTAACAAACAGATTGGATGATAGATTGCCTTTTTGATGGGGGTCACCCACCGGGTGCCTGAATCTATCTCTAGTCATGTTTTGGCTTCCCATTGAACATGCCTTCACTTGACCCTGACTGTTCCTGCAGATGAAGACAGGTCCTGATATCCTGCTCTGAGATTTAACAACAAGGCACATTTGAAGGTTTGATGTGTGGTGCAGTGTGCCCACAAGTTCAGGGTCAAACTTTAGAACTGCAAGAGTCTCCCTCTAGTCCTTTTTCTGACAACAATATCCGTACAACCACGTGTATGAGCGCTATGCTAAACGTATACAATACATGAAAAATTGCTGTCCATTAAGGCGGAATAAACACTCTTGGTGTAACTGTACGGGCTCTATTGGCATTCATATCCCAGCTTCCCCCGTGTGTTTTTTCGTGCGTAGAGCTAAAAACTCATGTAGCAAATGTCAGAGTTTCTTTAAAGGCTTACTTCATCGCCATGGTTCCACTGAACAACCAGCAGTAGATTCAGCTTCGCACTACGATGAGCCTGAGCTGTGTCATCAAAACATTTGTAAAAAGTAACATTTCAAGAAAATAAAAACACCAAAAAAAGTACAAAAGATGAAAAAGAGAGAAAAAAATCTATATATTTGAGACAAAATCAGAACCAACTATCCATGCATTGCTGTACTTTTTCTCTCCTCATTTAATATCTGCAATCCTGAGCGACAACAACACAATACACCCCTTCCCAGAGACTTATCCTCTCTAAGATCCCATCCATTCCTTCCCCATGTTTGCATGTGCCCCAGAGCCTTGTTGCACAGCTTTAATTACTATTTAAAGCTTGAGACTCTGTTTCTATTCCAGAGGCCTCTGTGGTGGAGAAACAGACTGGTGCCAGGTTGCACATTACGTTTGGTTGTGTGTGCATGGTTGCGATGCAGAGGACTTTGAGAGATAACCTGAGTGTGTGTGGGTGTGTGAGTGGTACGAGTTGGTGCAGACATAAATTACATGTACCAACGACAGTGCCGTCTGGATGATATTATGCCTGCCAGTCAACCAACTGTACAATGCAAACAGCAATGCAAGAGTGACATTTACCATAGTGTGTAAGGTGCCTGCCCTGGAAATGCATAGAAAAACACATACACACATATATATCATATATAATATAAAWATATATAAAGAAAAAAACAGCTTCTTTTAAAGATAAACATAAAATAAATGTTTCTTTCAACAAAGAAGAAAAATTGTAATATTTGCATGAAACGTGTCTTTGAATGCAAATAAAACTTTAAAGGGAGGAACTCGTACCAAGATTATTATTTTGTATAGGTTTACATTATTTTAATTTGTCTTGCTTATTTCTTATCTAAAAAAGAGGGTGTGAAGTTTAAAAAAAATAGCAGCATCACAGCTCTTTTTTCTGTTAGACCAGCATTTTTTAACTCATTGCGGAGTCTGAAAACAGTCATACCATATTATATAATTTTTATTTAATTTTCTTAAGATCCTTGGATTGTTTTGAATAAAAACTAATTTTATATCGAGATAGCAAGGTGATTATGATACAAAAATGAACAGTTCTTGTGGCGCACCCTGTTTCATCAATCATAGTATTGCTGTTGTGACACTTGGAGATGATCTTTAACAGAAACGTGTTGATCAACAGTCTATGTAATGCCCAAAAGCATTTGAAGCATTAGTACATATCAAAATCCTGTGTGTTATTACAAATATTAATGCACCAGGTGAGAAAGGTTAGATTCACAGGTTTATCCTGTTTGGTGCCCTTAAATATCTTAGTACATGCTTGTTTACATTTGTATCTAATTTAGGATTGTACAGAACTTTGTTTACAAATCGATACCAAGAATATCTTAAAATCTACCTTAGTTAGATTTTGACTTATTTACTATCTGTCCAGTTTAATTTATTGCTTTCTTTTCCTTTTAAGCTTTTTTCCTCCAAGTAACATTAAATAAAATAGTCTAAAATGAGACTTGTTAACCTTTTAGTCACTGAGCCAATCCAAGACTTCTAAATCTAATTATATAAAGGAAATTTATAAAAGCATCAGACAGTTCTGTTTACAGATAATTTTTCAGAGTAAAATACAAATGGATGGATCTACTTTAAACTTGTTTGCTGCTGGAGGCTTAAAATAAGACGAACAACTTGCTTTGGGACACTTTTGGAAAGGCTTCTACAATTTGATACCATATTTTTATTAGACTAAAATACAAAACCTAAAAGTAAGTGGTGCTGATCTTTGTAAAACCACCTCGACACAGACAAAGTGAGATCCTTTTTCCAATCTGGTGGTAGAATGTAAAATCTGTTGTGAGCCATTTCTGCTGCTGGTTTGAATGTTTTTCTTTGATCCCGACAACGATCTAAAAGCCCTTTCAGATATCGTTTTTTTGGGGAAAATAAATCTCTATCCCATGTTATGAAGACAGCCTTTGCCAAGACTTTATGCACTAGGATCAATCGCTGGAGTCAAAAAATCTCAAAATATGGACTGCATGGCTTGAACTAGTTAAAAGGCGAATTTGAATCGTAAAGATGAAGTGCACTGACTATGATGCATTTATTTCTACACTGAGAAATGTATGTTTTCTACTTCAAGTGAATGCTGACCCCCTGTGAAGTCTTACCTCCTTTTAAGACTGGTCTTGTATATTTAATGTTAGAATGTAGTGAATTATACTAAAAATCAACATCCGAAAAAAACATCTACTGTAAATTTAGTTTCTTTCTATTCTTTCTCAAATATCCTGCTGATGTACAATCCAAAAACAAGCTCACTATTTTTCTGTTTGAGTTTTACCGTGCTTTATTCATGGCTAAGGTTAGAGCGTGTCTCCTTTTTGTTTAAAGAGCTTTAAATACCAGGAAATTAACACAAACAGAGCGGGATAAAGCTAAAGCTTAATGTGAGACCTTTCACAAAGATGTCCATAACAGAGAAAACAAACATAGGGAATATCAGCACTTATAAAAACCACTTTCCTTCAGTACAATTGTAAAAGAAAAGGGTCTTGATGCACAAATGTTCAGCCCGAGGGTGTGTTGTGTTACTTTTTGATGGTGTGAGGGCAAACACTCAGGCATGAATGTGAACTGCGAAACATTTTGGTTTAAATCTTTCCTTGTTATTTTTTCTTTTCATTTACTGAATGAAATAAAAAATGGGAGAAGATTAAAATCAGTATTATTTGCCTCAACCTCCCCATTTTGTTGCTATATTTTCTGTGAAACTGTAAATAGCTGTATCCACTGCTAACATATTGTTTCCTGTGACCTCGCTGGTCGGAACAGACCGGGTTTTGATTTTGTCTCTGAAAAATGGTTGATCGTTCCACCGTTATGAAGATGAGGAGGAGGAGAAGAGTGAGGGAGGAATGTGCCACATTGGCAGTTAACAAAGAGAGGCAGGTGGATGGGGGTGGAGGAGGTCTGCAACAATAGAGCGCCATAGTTTGGACTCTCATTTGTCTGTTTGAACACAAAGACAGAAGGACTCACGCTGGACTGAAACCACGAGTACCATGAGGGCAAAAGCACTTGTAGCACAACCGTGTCTTGTTTTGCTGTTGCTGTACAAAACTGGTAGTTTGTTGGGTTTTCTTTTCTTACATCTCCTATGAAGATTACAAATGTTTCACTTTTCTCCTGTACTATCAACTGTATGCATCATAAGCATATCTACAAAGGATACCACAGTGTACGATATATGCTGCGACCCATTGCTGTTCTGAAAGGTGGAAATTTGCCAAAGTTGGGAGTAACTGCTGCGTTTTTAATCCTGCTATCGGATATACATGAACCCAACCATTTCTTGTATTTTATCCCTAGTTATGTTTTTGAGGGAAAATCCTGCCCATGTGCCATCGAATCAAGCAATAAGTACAACCAGACAAAACTACAAAGTACCGAAAATCTATCTGCAATGATTTTAGTAAAAACACGATATGCTGCATTGATATTAAATCAATCTTTCTGCACCAACTAGAAGCAGTGATGCCACCTGCGTACTGGTAATTATGACTCACTATATCAAAACCTGGAGGGAAGTTTGAAAAGTGTTTCTTTATTTGGTTTATTTTCCTTTGAAAATGTTTTTTTAATTATCTCAAAGCTGAAGTGCACATGTGACTGTCTGAATATTTGTACAGAAGTAATTAAGAAATGACAAAAAGGGAATGTGTGATGCTAAACAATGAGCAGTTCAAGCAGACAGGGGAACAGAAAACAGTGTAGCCAATATGAAAGTGTTTTCTTCTAGAGCACTATTAAATGTAGCTTTAATTCAACTGCAAATCTGCAAATCTGACAAGCACATTCTGCGTTGGCTCAGCAGGGTTCATGCAGGTTTCAGTAAGTTAAATTTAAGACCTTTTAAAGACCTTTTAAGACCATAAGGAATGACCAAATTGATGTGTTACCAGAAACATACGATTGGTCCCARRAATTTTAACATAGAAACCTTTTATTGCCATCAATTTAGTGATTAAGAATATTTAATTTTAATACAAGAACACTAAATTATTTTAATAAAATGGTCATATCCATGAGACCTTCATATCAACTGCTGTGCATCGCTTCCAACTTAGTGTAAAAACCACTGATATGAAGCCAAGTCTCATTGAAAACACACTTTCCCATGTTCAAACCACAAGCAGCAGACTTGACTGAACTTCTTTGTTTTTTTGGGCAGGTGAACAAGCTGCTGTATGTGAGGGGTTGTAGTGGCAAAGAGGTCAAAAACATGGAAGTAAACTGCCATGTTTTGCCTGCAGTTATCAGAATTTGTAGCCTAACCACGYACCAAGACCGGTAGCAAACTTAGCATTTCATGAAGACAGATTGCACCAACCTCTGATTACAGCGCTTTACTTACTTTATTTATGCAGCCAACGCTTCTCTGGAATGATCGAAAGTAGGGATGAAACGATACGAAAATTTCAGCCGATATTGATATCCGATATAATTATTGCTGTTATGGCCGATAACCAATATTTACTGATATTACACAAACACACAAATTATATTATACATATACACACAAACACACTTGGGTCTTTTTTTGATACTGTAAATAAAGAACCAGACCTCTGACATGGCTCTACTTCAGTTATTCCTGCTGCGCAGCATCAATATCACTATCATGATCAAACAGATGCTGCTCAACCAACCACCTCCCCTCCAAAACAGAAACACAAAGATAAAAAGTGGGAAATCAATATCGGACGTTAGTATCGGCCCAGTTTTATATATCGGACCAATACCGATATGAATGCMGATATATCGTGCATCTCTAATCTAAAGTAAAAAAAAATTAAGACTTGACAAAATTAAATTTAAGACCTTGGATGAAAATCTGTGCGTTTTTAAGACTTTTTTAGGCCTAAATTTTTATTTTTCAAATTTTGGACGTTTTTTTAGACTTTTTAAGACCCTGCATGAACCCTGCTTAGTCAATCCACGAGCAGGAGTCTGCTGACGTCATAATTGATTGTGCGCAATACCTAGCTGTTCCTGACTGGAACCACTGCCGTGGTGGTTCTGAAATCGCGGTTGGATCCATAAATGGAGACAAATTTGGCCGAGACTGAACCGAGGAGGACTGCGTACAGGCACGCCCGTGGAGAGGGGAAAGTCATATTCTCCTGCGCCAACTCCCAGTTAAAAAGAAAAAAAAATAGTTCTACATATAAATACACGAGTAACGGCAGACACTTACAGAGTCAGCATCTTAGCCGTGGTCCTGTAGAACTCTGTCTTTGTCCAACACTAATGCATTTAGACTGAAACTGTCCCGGCTCGCCTGTCTGCTTAAACTCCCCCTAAGAACAACTGTCAAAGTGCTGCAGCAGCTTGAAGCTCTGTTAGCCTGAAGCTCTCACACTGGCTGTAATGCAACAACACACTCTGCCCCGGAGTCCGGTCATGGCTGTTGTCTGCTGCCAAGGAAACCAAGCYGCACAAAGCACAGCAGGAGGCAGACGTAAAGCTGCACTGAGGGGAGGTCAACCAGTAGACAGAAGACTGGAAGGAGGAACTGATAGATGATGGATGGAGAAACTAAAGGGGGAAGGGAGGTAAAATGCTACCAGGGGAACTCTGCAACTGATGCTTTTAGGTTTAATGAGAAATTTGAGAGCAGTGGGACTCTCCTCTATCTTGTGAAGTGGGACATGGAGTAAACAGTGGTAGTGGTCCACTCAGAGTGGCTACAGAGGGGGGTGTTAATGGAATTGAACAAAGCAGGGTGAAAATACAAAATGGGGACACTGTGGAACTCAGTTCATGTCCAAAACCAAGCATGATGTGACTGACTGAGCTGGTGAAGTTTACAGTATGTAGGCACAAACGACTTGAACCTCAGTCTGCAGGTCTGTTAGCTTTTAGTTCCCATTGTGTCATTCCTTTACAAGAACGCTGTATTATGACACCAGGATGACTATAATTATTGTGTTGTTTTGCCCTTTCTTTTATACTAATAAGAACTGGAACACTGTACAGATGTAAAGATGGGATCTCTTGCATCATGACGACTGAAACATGGATGTATATATATTGTATTGATTAAAAAGACAATGCATTAGGCTTTTACATGCTGCAACAGTAAAACGTCTGTTGTTGTTTTCTTATCCATACAACCCAAGAAAAAAAAAAAGAACGGAGGCCTGGTCAGAATAATTTATATAACAGAGATAATTGAAGCCACGAGGACAGAAGCTGCAGGGTCTACTTACACATCTTGAGATTGCAGGGGGATGCTCACATTGTTGCCCTTGACAACTGAGTCCGTAGACGTACCTTTCTGTTGATGGCAAAAAAAAAAAAATTTTTAGAAACATCACAGTAATGTGAACATTTTGGGATGTGCTTTGAATTTTAACTTAGCATTAATTTAATGAAACAAAGCTAAAACAGAATGTGGAGCCAAAGATGCTCTGGTAAGTTTTAAAACACATTGAATTAGTATTTAGTTCACCTTTTTTTTCAATCTTGAACATGCCGTACTCCTCGAGCACCGAGTGCCCACTTGCGCACACCAAGTCCCACGCCTCCCCCCTCACAATGAAATAACGAAGAGGCAGATTTCTACAAATATTTGTCACTTTAGCTCTGAGGCTCAAACTGATCTGGTGAGAAAAGTTTCTGATAAGTGAGGGCCCATCCACGAAATTCTAGAAATTTGAGTAAAATACACGTGACAAACTCTAGTAAAGGGGACAAACCTGCAAGTTAAAGGGAACTTTCCATGTGGTGGGCAGCACTAATGTAAAGATTAGTTGCACTAACCCTAAAGCACTAACTCAAATATTTAGGTCCCCTAATTCTGAAGCACTAACTCAAATATTTAGGTCCCCTAACCCTAAAGCACTAACTCAAATATTTAGGTCCCCTATTTCTAAAGCACTAACGCACTGAAAATTTTAGCAAAAGCTAATTCTAAAGCACTAATATGATCCAGTTAACACATGAAACATTCTTCAGAGTCAACATGAGACAATATTTACTGTGTGCAGAATATCGTCACTTAGTGCCCTTGGCGGGCCTAATGGGAGTCACCCGCAGGCCACATTTGGCCCGCGGGCCTTGAGTTTGACACGTGACCCTATAGATAAGTGACACACATATGAACACAATGTGTGACAGCTTTTACCCTCAACTGTGAACAATAATGTTGATCAAAAACATTAGAGACCTCAGTTATTGCTTCTAAATTTAGCCCATAAATTTAGCAACTGCTAATCCACTAATTTAAAAAATAGCAAACTGTGCCCACCACTGCCCGCCAATTACTTTTTTAAACTTATTTTAGTATAAAAATTGATTTTTATATTAATTGTAAACTTTAAATTTATGATTCAGTGCAACAAAATAAACTAATTTAAAAGGTAAAAGATAATACTACTGTACTTGTGCGATCCCTGACAGTAATAATCTCTCAAAATAAACTGCATGTACACGCAGTACTCTTAGAGTTTATAAAAGGACATGTTAAAACGCTGTTTCTATGCAGGAAATACCAGGTAGAGCTCAGTTATTATTATTATTTTTTAGTTATCAATTCGTATCAATGAGACAAGGAATGTGACATTTTGGGTTTAGTCTAAGTTAAACAGGAAATGCCAAATTTAATTACAATGCTCATGTGGCCCTCAGTGAAAATGAGTTTGATACTCCTGATCTAAGACATCAGACACATTATTCCTGCTTAAAAAGTGACATCTACAACAATCAGCAGGAGGCATTAGGTGACGTTTTAACAAGGCTTTGTGATTTGCCAGATTAATTTTCTAATCTTGCATGGATTTTAATTGGAGGATTGTATGAAAAGGGACATAAAAGAGTTTTAGTGTGGCTGCCAGACATGAGAAAATTCGGTCAGTGTGCCAGGAAGCCAGTGAATGTGTGTGTGATGCAATACAAAAGGGTGAGTGGGCTGCAGCCAGGGGAGCAGATAAAAGAGGAGTCCAAACGTGAAAAGAAATGGAGGCGCAAAATGAGATCATCTGCTTTAAACGGCACAAAAGCTTTCGACAAAAGATGAAGTTTAAGTCAAACTAAAAATATCAAATTTCATGGCATTTATTAAATGTATGACCCCCCCCCCCCCCCCAAGACAAAACGTCTCTGTAATTAACAACCATTAGTGGGTTACAAGTTCTTTAAATGTCATTCTTAGAAGATCAGCTGTAAAATGATGCATTCAGCTCAGAACAGGAAGTGAACTCAGGATGAATGTCTGGTTTGAGGAAGATGAAGACTGGGACCAGAAGAAATAAATGCAAAACCAGCTTTAATTGGCACAAACCAAGCATTAAAAACAAAAGCCTAACTTCTTTTTCTTCAGGCAACAGAAGCTCAACCAACATCTAACAACTCGTTTTATGAACCAAAAACCCACAACCTCTCTTCATCTTGGCAACGAGGCAGAGGAAACATTTTTGGTCTTAATGAGAAGGAAGGAGGACAACAAGGATGGAAAAAAGACAACTAAACAGAGAGCGAGAGAGAGAAACTGGTCCAATCCAGTTTCTAGCGCCTGCGGTTGCCCCCGGATACAGATGGAGTGGAAGCAAGAAGTGGGAGCTGCAGCTGCCTGGTTTCCATAGCAATGTGGATGCAGGACGAGAGGAGAGAGAAAAAGATATATTGGTTACAGGAGAGAGAAATGGGATGAGAGATCAGTGAGGAAAGAAGGATGAGAATATAGCAGGAGGAGGGGGGGTGGTGGCAATGATGAAGAGGCATAACGGTGGTGGAGAGGAGGAAGATGGTCTCAGGGTGAAGGAGGAGGGAGAAGAGGGAGGTGAAGCTCAGACATGGAGCCCCAAGACTTGCCACAGGAGACCGCCACCTTCAGGGGCACCTAGGAAACACAGGAGGAAACAAAAGGAGTCAGATCACTGATGTTTTACTTTTATTGTCCGCGCAGAGGTACAGCAGCAAGCAATAAACAACAGGAAGCAATCTGCAGAACTTCCTCTTCTTGGTAACATGTCAAAATATCAATAAGAGGCTACAAATAAACCGCTCGTCCTCTATTCTAGTTCTTATTGTGTACCCCTACGTTTCTGTTGCACTTGCTGTCATGGCAGCAAAACAAGAAAACTGCTTGGCATCAGCTAGTGAATAAAGACATTAAACTGTGCATATATTTAGGCACAGGACCACATCAGCTGCAGTTTCTTTTACTTCACTCACTTTAAGATGGACTCCCAGGTGATCGATGTGCTGCAGGGACTCCATGATGCTTCTCACCAGAGCTGCACACGTGTAGAGATGAATACAACTGTGTTAGGGTCACTCAGAAAAACTCATTGAGGAGGAAGATTTCTTTTTGACTTTTGAAATATTTTGACTACTCTTCTCAAACTTTACTCTATTTATTGAAAAAGCATTTTGACTTTACTCTCAATACATGGCAACAACTATCCATTATCTACACCCGCTTCTTCCTTTCAGGATCACGGGGGTCACTGGTGCCCATTTCAAGCTGTCACAGCGCGAGGGGGCGGGGTACACCCTGGACAGGTCGCAAGTCCATCACAGTACACGGAAACAAGGATTTACAATTTTCATGTTTTTCCCAAAGTGAGGCTGCTAAGTTTTTTAGACAAACATAAGAAGACCATACAGCTTAAATTTAAAGTTTATAATTTAATTTAATGTTACTCTACACACATTACAACATGGCACCATATTTTACTATTATATACAGTATTATTATATATTTGTGGCAGGGGTCTGCAACCTTTACAATCAAAAGAGTCATTTCTGCTCCTTGTCTCACTGATAAAATGTGTCCAGAGCCACAAAACAAGCTACAACTGTGATTATCAACTGCTGGTCCATGGGCCTTTTTGAGGCCTTTTCAGGAACCTTTACGGCCAGTGGAGGTGACATTATAAAGCTAAAAAATATATTGTGAATTTTATTATTTACTATTATTTTTACCCATCAGGACAAATGAAAAGACCATAATCATGTAAACAAGAAAATATTGTGTATAGTTTATAACAAATTTAAAAAAAACTAGTACAATTATTATGCAGTCTTCAAATTTTTTAAAGGTGATTCTAATGGTTTAGAGAGAAATATCATAGAAAGAAGTTGGATTATTTAAGTAAACAACAGACTAGCATGAGCTAATCAACGTGTTTAACTTTTTGTATTAGTAGTAATTATCACATATTTGCATACAAATAATTTCTGTTGTGGGTATAAAAACCTAATAATAATAATAATAATAATAATAATAATAATAATAACAATAATTCCATTATTTTTGGCCACATTTTCAAAGAGCCAATGTAGAGAGACCAAAGAGCCACATACGGCCCCAGAGCCGCAGGTTGCAGACCCCTAAATTAAGCGCACTGCCAGTGACAGCTGATGCAACAAATTTGGCCTTTTTTTTACATTGATTTTTTTCCCATGGCAAAACAACTGTTTCTATATCTGGCACCTTAGCTTTATTAAAATATATTTYGTTAATTATATATACTGAAATACTTACATTTTCCTTTGAGGATATATAAAATAATTTAAATTTGATTTCATAAAGAAGAAAAATCCTTGTGATGTGGTTTTAAATAAAATATAGTATTTTTAAAGTTTTTGATATAATTTTAGACTTGTTGCTTGTGAGTTTTTATGAGTGAAATTTACCTGCAAACTGCTCCACCTGGGAGTCCTTCACTTCATAAAGAAGCTCATCATGTAGTTGTGCTAGAAGCCTGCAGTTACACATTCAGGTATAAATATATAAAGCACAGTTACCATCAAACAGATGCTGATAATGGTGTATATTTGTTTATGTTCATCAATGATCCACGGTGCTCTGGTACAGTCATGTTCACTTATTTCTCTCCTAACTCGTTGGCTGTTGTTTCAAGTGTGTTTACTCTAGCTGAATGTTTGGCAGCAGCAGTGATTTGGGAGCCGTTTCTCATATCAACAAACTCATTTGGCTGGTAAACCAGTGAGGATTGCTTTATGTGGTCTGGAGAGACAAACTGTCAGCTCATCTTCATAAACACAACAAAGCTACATTTGGCTAAAGCAGATTGAGGAAGACGTACGATGCGTTTTATTAATATGACAATCAGTGTACCTGGCAGAGGGTGAGTCTGAGGAGGAGACCAGGTTAAAGATCCTGATCATGGCCATCTTACAGAGATCAGCAGCTGAACCTGTTCTCATATATAAAATACACAAGCAAACACACGTTTAACACATTCTAGTAGAAAAGTTTCACGCTGACCTGGGTGCTGACGTCATAAAAACCATTATGTGTCAAACCCTTCCAAACAAACAAGAATACAGATTGTTTTGATTAGAAAACATACAAAAACAGTAATCAATGTCTTCCCTCCAGGATAATTTGCTCAGAGAAGTACAAGTTTTAAATTTCAGAGGGAGACTAGCTAATGGCTAATCTGAGTGGAGATGACACCAAAGCAGATTACCACAGTCCCAAACAAATCCAGTATCAAAAGTTTTCAACACCGTTTCATAAACCTTCACACAACATTACATGATTATTGACCCTGAAGACTAGAGCTGCCTGATATATTGTTTGAGCATCGTCATTACAATGTACATGCCTAATAGTCACACTGCCGGTCCTGCGATGTAGGAGGCAAACTATATCAACAGTGTTATCTAAGGACTAAACCACTAAACTATATGTCTTTGCAATATCATGCAGATCTTCTAAAGACTGAGTTGGTTTACAAGTTTGTTACTAGTAAAGATCCATGTTGCCAAATTAACATGTTACATGCAACCAACCAAACTAACTATTTAATAAAAAAGTAAATACGATGTAAAGATCAATAATATATCATCATTTGCATGGACCACTATTCCATACAGGTAATGAACTGCAGTTGACTCAGTCTTCAGTGTATTAATACATATAGTTGTGTCTATTGCAAAAGTGACAGCACTGCAAAGGTTTATAAAATATCAACTGCATAAGTCCTTTGATAAAGATAGCACTGAGATGGCAAAATTCCCCTTGGGAACTGGCCCTGCTCAGACTATCGATTAGCTCATCTTCACTGAGAGTACTTTTGCCAGCAAACGGGTGCAAATGTTTTTAGACGGCTACAAAATAGTGTTCAAAGGTGGTAAAATCATCATGACTTACAACTATAATTATGTATTTTTATACATTGAGTTTAACCTTTGCATAAAGACATGAATCATATAATCGTTTAGTAACAATTATGGGGAGCAGATAATTTGAATTAGTGCTAAAATTGCCAGTGGTCCTACCCTGAACAACAAAGTTGACGGCCTGCCTTTCAGCCTGCATGCGGGTAGCCCAGTCCACAGAGTTGATGTTAGGGAGGTTCCGGCGACGACCCATGACAGACAGCACATAACCTAAATGAATAAACACAATATTTATAATATAATTAGTTATAGAGTAAGATATTTGTGACTAACTGAATTTCAAATACACATTTATTTTAAACTTTATGACTGTCTTGATTGACTTGTCTCTACTTAGCGTAACGTGCCTCAGGGGTGCTTCCTTGTTTACAGGGTGTGACTGGGTTTTTTATTAAACGTTATAAGGACATGTAATTGAAGGCCATTTTTGTCCCCTTGGAGGGTGAAGGAAATTTTGTGACTGATTAACTGAATTTAAGATCCAGTCTTGTATTTTACACTTTCTGATCATTGCAGCCATATGGTATAAAACAGAGGAACAGAGTCAGTGTGTTTTATCAATATGAGGCTTTTCTGTCTGTATTAACAAAGTTCGTTGCATTCTAATATAGGTACCGCTTCCAGGGGTGTAACCAGGAAGACAGATGTACACGTACTTTGAGAAGTTGATTCATCATTAATATTATGCAGTCTTCTCTCCTAGATCAGCCTGGAAAAGACTGGCCTGCTAGACTGGGTTGTCATTGTTTTTTGTTCTTATTAGATCCAGGCCTTCTCCACTCTGATGCCTGTGGCTTGAGCTGTTTATGGAGAGAGATTGAGATTAAATTTTTTAGAAGAGGATCCACTGGTTTTCTGCTATTTTAGTCAGATTTCCAATTTATTGATCACGATTTTGTTACAACGGGATGGCCCACAGTGCTGTAATAATCTTTGTGCAAATAAACATTCAAGGCTGAGGAATGGACCAGTTTTATGCACCTGATTCTGGTTCTTATTGTCTTATTGTCCCTGTTTTCAATAGGTACAAACTGACAGTGCTAAAGTTTATACAGTTGCATCGAGCTGTAACATAATTCTGTTTTCAAAGATTTTCCATGTGAAATTTAGAACAAAGTTCCATAAATATAGGTTTGGGTGTAAGTCAAAGTTCTACCTTAAAGAGCATGCATWCGGCATAGAATAAAATGGTAAATATAAGAGGTTATCCAAAATTAGGAAACGTTGCTTTTAGATCAGTTTCCTTAATTAAAGTTAGGTATTTAATTGTCTATAAGACATTCTTCACCTTGGGTCATTTTTACGCTGAGTGAATAAGTGTAATTTAAAAGAATGGCTTTATTAAAAAACACGTTGATAAAACATCATAGTTATGATATCAGCACACAAATATAAGTGTGCAATGCAAACAACTCATGTAGAAGACACACAATCCCATTGGTTACCAAAACACACATGAGGAGTGACAGAAAAAAGACCAGTATTGCTCGCATTCTAATGTGAACATAAACACACATTATCATATGCAGGTACACACACACACACACACACACACACACACACACACACACACACACAC